CTGCGGTGATCTGCAAGATCTGGTAAAACGAGAGAGCCCTTGTCGGCGAATCTGCTGGTATTTAGTTTTAGCTGCGACTAGGTGTCCGAGCTTGATGACTCCCTCCACAGCTCTAAATCTTTACATGTCGGTAGCCATGTACACGAGTTTAATAGAGTTTCTCTCGCATTGATATTAAATATGGAGTTTAAGTGTTAACCGGTTAAAGGAGGAAACTTCAGACCGCTACGCCGTTCTCCCAGAAAAAGAATCGGAAAATAGGCACTAAGTCCGTGAGGAACCGAGATTTTTGTAGTAATCTGCCTTGATTAACAGCGCATCGATTGGTAGATAGGTTCGTTAATTAGGTAGCGGGACCTATTTCTTGCTTTCTAATTGGTCAAGAGTCGGAATACACTTGAGGGTGGAAAAGGATATTGACCGGAATTTGTAGCGTTTGAAAGTATCCTTATTTTTATGACAAATTAATAAATAGTAAAACCTAGATTTATTTTTATTTTTATAATCTTAAAATTTATGAGAAAGCGTATGTGCAGTACATCGTGGAAGCGCACGTGTAGCGTCGGCGCATGGGATCACCAAGTATCATCTCCTGAACATCGCGTGTTATGTCTTAGATTTTATGATTACGGACTCGTGAGAATCGTCCGCGACTTGACCGTTAGAAAGTATCTTGGCGTCGGTTTTACGCTCCCAAATGACATTTTTATAGTTATTTATTATTTCCGTCGTAATTGCGGCGTTCAAAAAGGGTATCTTCGGCGTCTCGTTTAGTCTCTCTGTTCGCGCACATTTACCGATTTTTAATTTATCTTATTTGACATTTACGAGGAGATACTGGAGTCTTCACTTTTAGTCGTGGAAAAAAAAAATTTTATAGCTTTATAAACTGTAACGGTTCAATTTTATTTGTTTGTAACAACTGTTTTTATATCTTGACGGACTCCAGACCTCCACAAAAGAAAAGAGTCGTGGGAGTCCGCTGGATGTAATACTGTAATATCTCATTCATTGCAAAATAAAAATTTTTTTCTCCATAGGCTTTTTTTTTAGAAGATATTTTTCCGGAATCTAGTCGGATATGTAAAAAATATCGGATATCTGTCTCGAAGAAATTGCCTTCTGGATATCCGATCGGATATCAAATATCCGATATTATATTCTGTCCGCATATCCGGTATCCGGTAATTTTACGATTCGGTGCATCTTTTTATAACGTTATAGAAATTTTATGTATATAAATTTATACGGATTACTACAGACTAAACAGGACCCACAAATTGTGCAATTCGTTTGCAAATAAAGTGGTTATATTTTTAAGAAATGTTTACAAATGTTTGTGAATATTTTGTCATGTTCCCGCTTTGGCTGGATGATTAGCAAATACTCGCAAACGTTTACAAACATCTTTTAATCGTTTTATTCATTTAAATAAATAATAGTACAATATAATAGTTCAATATATTAACATTCAGACCGTAGTGATGCTTCGTATTTAAAATATCAAACATAAACTTATTTCCAATCTTATTATTGCTTATACACGCTTGCCTACAATGCGTAACTCTATATATATAATATATCGATTATTGCGAGGAATATTGCTAAGATCTCAGTAGTCTAAAGGCTTAAGACGCTCGCACGGAATGCAAGAGATTCGGGTTCAACTCTCGGCCGAGGCAATATTTTTTACAATAAGTTTATTATAATTTTTTTAAATTAAATTTGGGAAATTTGAGGAGATTATTAACATTTCAGATTGATTGCATTAAAAGTCCGACTACTACATCGGCACGCAATTTTATAATTTCTGAAATTAATTCATTTAAATGAATATATACGAGTATACAATATATATATAATATTGAAAATAAATTGCAACTGAGCATTTATAGTATTTTAACCATATCGAATTGTCATACTCAAAAGAGAAATCAATTTTTTATGATAATTTTATTCATTTATTCCGATAATAGTTAAATTATATTTACAATTTCAGGTGAAAACATTTTTAAACCTACAACAACAGGCAGCAGAAGTAATGGCAGCAGTTGCCATTTGGGAATTGGAATTGAATGATGTTGAGTTAGAGCTTGGAAATGTTAATAAACACGGAAAATTATGTATAAAAGAACAGATTGATCCTTTGTACAAGTGAGTAATTTTTTTCTTAATAATTATTTTTTATATAATCGTTACATACTAAGTAAGTATATTTGAGCCTATAGTATAACGAAGCTAGATCTTAATACTTAAATAATTCAATATGAATTACATATATACTATATATATATATATATAT